TATAATACTGTATAAGTAGTATTGTGTAATGAACTTGAACCATTGTGTATTTAACTTGAACCACTGTGTATTTAACTTGAATTTTGCTACAATAGGCTCTGTTCTTAACTATGGGTTGTCTATAACCCGGGCATTCTAAACCCAGGGACTACCTATATACATATCACCCAAACAATGAAATGAAGCTGCTCTGAAACAGAAAGGAGGAAGCTTCCAAAAAATCCAGGGTGGGGCAGGGATATCCAAGCAACCCCCCATCTGCAAGATAGAGCAGCCCACCATCTTCTTGCTAGGATATGTGTAAGATAAAAATAAATCCACTCCCCACTTTCCTCTTTGCCATGTTGGAAGAAAGATCTGGAGAAGATTTGTGCAATTCTTTTTACAAAGGTCCAACCCAGTGGGAGGGCTGGACTTTCACATCTCACAGAGAGTTCTGCCCCTTCTCAGGACTAGAAGCCATGAGATATTAAAGCACATCATGCAAATGTTCTAATTTTCATAAAATAAAGATGAGCACAGAATCCAGTTTTTCGCTGTGCAGAATTTGAGAACTTTCTTGCAGAACTGCAATGCTCTAGCACAGTGTTTTTCAACCTTGGCAATTTTAAGATGTGTGGACTTCAATTCCCAAAATTCCCTAGCCAGCAATGTGACTGGGGAATTCTGGGAGTTGAAGTCCACACATCTTAAAGTTTCCCAAGTTTGAAAAACACTGTTCTAGCACATGCCAAGGTGTATCCTGTGTGCTCTTACTCCAGCACAAGCACTCACTGGTATTTATATCTGATCAGAGATGCTGAAGTCAGGCTACAGACATCAGAGGGGCTGCAGCTCATTCTGAGAGTGAACAGTAACCCTAACAAACATTGACTGCCCTTAACGGTCAATGTTGCTACAGATAAATATCAATCAAGCTTGAAAACCAAAACTTAAAAGGCACAGCAAACATCTTCTTTAGGACTAGCATTACATTTTTAGAAGCTAACTTAAAACGAGCTATCAGAAGGAGAAACAGCTTTTGTCAATTCGTTTTTTTAAAAACCGGTCCCATGTCCTATGCAGAAATTTATACTCTGTCCTGTTTCCTCTTTCAGAAAAGAGCAGAAGTAAAACTCAAAATGCAACAGAAACCTCCAAAACTGCTTTATATGCCTTTGTTCCTGCCTCCAGCCTGGAAGATAAAAGTTCCAGCCTCATCAGGACCATTGAGATGTGTTGACTGCACTCCAATACTCCTTCGGAATTTGGGTGATCACTGGAGCTTGTCCATAAAAGCGCATACCTCCATCCATATCCGTTCAGAGTACAGTCCCATGCACGGCTCTCTTTAGCCATCAGCTGGTAACAAGTATGTCATGGATTATCCAAACAATGGAGGAAAGAGAGCTCTTTCATACTGCCACTATGCCCACCTCCCAATCCCTCAAAGACTGTCTGTTTTCACAGCCACTAATCTTGTAGTTCCCTTGAGATAAACCCTCTTTGCATTCAGGCCATTCCTTGTGAAATAGAAACTCTATGAAACTCAAAAGTTGGACTTTGAAGGAGGAGGAGAGAAAAAGCATCAACGCTTTTGAACATTGGCGTTGGACACTGTTGTCCCAACATTATCCCCCTATTTTAATA